CCCTAATACCTTCGAGCTTCGGGCTTATTTGGGCTAGCCCGAATACTTGAAACTTTTTTAAAATATTTTTTCTTTATTTTTCAAACCAATTTTAAATTTTAAATAATTTTATTAAACGTAAAATATTATCTTAATTTTAAAAGAATAAAATAAAAAATAACTTATCAATATTGTATTTAAGTAGCTTTGTTATTATTTTGTTGTATTATGTATAATGTATTTATGAATGTTTTTTTTACTTATAAATTAATATCTTAATTGTTTAAACATTGCTCTTATCATAGTCATATATAAATATTTTATATATTTTAATTAAATTATATAATTTTAATTATAATTAAGTTGATCTCAATTCAATTACAGTTAGACTACTAACTTAAAATTATTATCCTAATTAGTTCAAAGTTTTTAATAACTTTTAGGTAAATTGTACTTTTCATTTTTATGAATATAAAAAAATTGCCATCGTTATATTATATAAAAAAATTATTTAATTATGAGTAAAATATTATTTTTTTGAAATTATTTTTTAAAATTTTTATATTGTTTAACTTTTACATATAAGAGATTCTTACTCTAATTTACTCTTAATTTTTAACCAAATCTAGCATGGACAATAACCAAGTAATTATTTAAGAATATTATTTTATTTATTATGTTTATTTAGTAGTAAAGTTGGAAATTCATCCATGCCTAAATTTTATTTTTAAAATTATTTTTAATTTTATTTTTACTTTAAAATTAATTATCTTAATTTATAAAAAATATAAAATTATTTTTTTATTTGCAAATTATTTACAGGAGTCAAATTTTTTTAAAAAAATTGGGTCTTAAAATGTAAAAATTAATATTAAAATATAATTTAAATATTATTTTGAGATTTTTTATTGATTAAAAATAATAAAAATATGAAATATAACTATTTTTACTTTTTTTAAAAAAATAACTAAATTAAAACATTTATATATATAGTATTTTGGTATAAAATGATATAAAACTTTAAAAATTGAGTAATATTTATCATATTATATATATATTTTTTAAAAATTATTTTTTTTATTTGAGTATTCAGGCCAAGCCCAAACCCGATTGGGCTTGGCCTGAACCCGAACAATAAAAAATTAATATTTTTTTGAGTTTGGCCCTAAATTTTTCAGGTGGGTTCAGACTTGATCCAAATTATCAACTCTAAAAATTACAACAAGTAAAATGCAAATGGACAGCACATCAACTTAAAGAAATTGATTAAACAACTTTAATTATACATTACAAAAAAAAATGTCTAACTCAAGTAACAATATAAGAACTAAATAAAAGCAATCGCAGCTTAAATGGATTCAAACAAGATGAAGAGTAGAAACTCTCCCTAATCAATCTAAGGCCTCAAGAGCACTTTCACAACCTATATGGGCTTAGGTGATTAGTTCTCCATCAATTTCAACTCAACACCCTCATTAGTTCTCCATCAATTTCAACTCAACACCCTCATAAAACCAACAATGAAGTTTCAACCATGGAGGAAAATGGAGCTTTGACGAAGTATGTATGATTATGTATTGGAAATGAATGAAAGTGAGGTATGAAAATCAAATTCTAGAATTTGGAATTTCTACATAGTGGGCGAAATTACGAGAATATGAAAGAGCTAAGTGAAATCTAACGGAAGATGAAAGTAGATGGAATGAGAGGAATTGATGAAAGAAATGAAGTAGAAATAAGATGAAATGGTGTTGTTATGGGGAAAGAAGATAAATGGCATGAAGAAGAAGAAGAAAATCTAGAAAATAAAAATGAAAGATTGAGTGTGTGGAAATGGAATGTGGTGGCTCCCGTTAAAAGCTCCCCTTTGCCATTTTTTTTGTAAATTTTCCTAAAGCTGGCTCAGTGGTAAGGATCTTTGGGCTGGGAGTAAGAAAGCCTCTTAGCCCTTGGATTTAGGTTTACAAATCTGACTTAAGGATAAACATCAACAATAAAATAAATCTAAACTAAAATAAAATGACAAAATATTTACAATTGCTTTGCCCTCTTTGCCCTTGTAATCTTCACCAATTTCAACATGCAAATCTACCATTAAATGAACTACATTCTTGACCAATGGCTAGAATTTTGTCCAACATGGTCAACAAGTCAACAAGGATATCCTTCCACGCCTACATAGTCAAATGACCCCATTTGCTCAAGTCATGAACATTTTTCAATGTGTTAATTCAAATTAATTCAGCTTAGGTGTAAAAATGTGGAAAAATGGAAATATGATTAGAGCAAAATTATGGTAGGGGATTAGTTCAAAGGAGTTGTGATTAGCTCACTTGGAATTTTTCATTAAGAAATTCAAACACAATACACTTCCAAAGTAGCTAGAAAATACAATTAAGGCACTGAATAAGAGATGTTTTGGTGAATTAATAACAAACTAAATTGAACTCAAATTTAAACTAATAGGATTAAAAAGGAACTAAAAATTAATAACTTATTGGAAATTACAAATTTGGTCCAAAACTTTTAAAAATTGCAATTCTACTCCAAAATTACAAAAATTGTAAAAATTGCCCAAACTGCTCCCAAAGGCTTAAATATGCTCCAAATGACCTCACATTAGTGTTAAAACCCAAAAAAAAGGAATAAAATGATGTAATTATTATGGTTTATCATTTACCCCTGTATTTATTAATCTAGATATTTGTATAAATGTATTTCTCACTTATCATAGAGTATATTGGTAATTGAAACTAGGGGCTAAAAAGGAAAAATAGTTTATATTCTTTATAAGAATGGAGAATTTATTGTTATGCATTTTTTTTCAAAAAATATTTATATTTTAGACCGAAGGTAGCATCTTGTGTGTGTGTAATATATTACATGATAATAATGTAGCCTGGTTTATTAGGCTTGTAGTTTAAACTTCATAATAATATACATGCCTTATTTATTTAAATATATCTAATCAAAGACCTACATATAGCTTGATCTATTTTGGTAAATGGGCCATATTAGGCTTGAAGTAGGGTATGTTATTGGCTTATACTCTCACCTCAATGAAGCGAGGACATATCCATAATTTTTATAATTTGTTTTGAAAAAAATAATCTATTAAAGTTTTAATTATCAATATAAATGCACTCAATATATTTAATGAGGGTATAATTTAAATGATGTATAATTTTTTAAAAAAATTAAGATTTTAACTAAATTTGTCTAATAACTTTGAAGCAATTATTAATATATTATATTGTAAATTGAAAGGAGAGTACTAGAAGCATAGTTCATAAAAATAAAGAAAAAATTAATTATTTAATCTCTATATTCTTAACTTACTTGCAACTCAATCAATAAATTTTAATATGTTATAACTCAATTTTTATATTTTTGACTCAATTAAAACTGAATTTTTAAATTTTAACTTATTGCAACTTACTCTCTTTAGTTTAAAAATTTAATTTAAAACATTAGTCATTAAGGTTAAGAAATAATTTTTTTAGCAAATAGTTTCCAGAAATAATTTTAATCTTTATAATTTTAATTTCTAAAGGGTTAAAGTACAAAAATACACATTAACTGGTTGGCTAGAAGCATCTAATAGCCTAAAGTAAGAAAAAAAGATAAAAATACCCATAATGTTACCATAGTTTGTGTAAAAGTGACCAAACCATCAGTTAATTTTCGATGTTAGATACTAATTGTGCTTGTCATGTGTCAGTCATTGTTGACGTGGACTAAAGAAGGGGCAAAAACATCTACAGAGTTGTTGGTTATAAGCATCCAATTGCTTAAAGTGAGAAAAGTAATAAAAATATCCATAACATTATTAAAATTAGTGTAAAAGTGATCAATCCATTAAATCTCTTAAATGTTGACCATTTAGTTGATATCTAAGCAGAAGTTGACTATTTTTCATTAATGAAGACAAAAAATATTCATAGGTTAATTCCAATGAAGGTTGATCGATGACATATCCCACCAAATCTCATTTTTTTTGTTGACATATCCCACCCTCTCCCTCCCACCCTCTTCAATCATTTTTTTTTACTTACAAAACTTGAAATTTAATACAGTGAGATATATTATATACAATTGAAGATTGAGATTAAGCATACCTCCTACGTTACCCATCTTAAGAATATTGTCACAACTTTAAATAATTTTATTTATGATATGTTTGAAATTCTTAAATAGTTTTTGCCATTGTTGCAAAGAAGCGAGCAATTTAATTTAATGTTTGGTCAAAATGATATTTTTTCACATGATATTTATACAACAATCGATCAACCTCTATAGAATTTCACTTAGAAATATTTTTTGTCCAAGTTAGTGAATAAATGGTTAATTTCTGATTAAGTGTAAGCTAAATAGTTAATATTTAAGGAATTTGATGGGTTTGTCACTTTTGCATCAACTTTAGTAACATTATATGTATTTTTGTCATCTTTTTCACTTTAAGCTACTAGATGCTCTTAACTGATGATTTCGTGGACATTTTTATCCTTTTTTTTAGTCTACATTAGTAAAAATTAACACATGACAAGTATAGTTAGTATTTAACTCAAAAACCTAACAGCATTAGGGCAAAGTTGACAGTGTAGTCATTTTCGCACTAACTTTAATAACATTATAAGTATTTTTATTTTTTTCTCACCTTAGACAATTAAATGTTTCTAACCATTCACTTGATAGGTATTTTCATACCTTAACTTATTTTTAAAATGCACAAATCAATATTTTAAAGATAATTAACACTATAAGAGCTGATATGCAATAAGTAAAAGTTTAGAGAGTGAACTGCAAGGGAATTAAAACTATAACCATAATGAGTAAAAATATAGAGATTAAGTTTTAATTGGATTAAATTAAAATCTCAGTATCACACGATTAATTTTTTAATGGTTGATTTTCTTTCTTTCTTTGTTTTTTTTTTTTTCAAAAGTACGTACTAGTAAGCCGCTAGTGTATCTTCGCCGTATATAGCTTATCCTCGGCTCTCAAAAAGGGAAAAGCTTTTCTCAAGCCGCTTCAGGCGTACCTTAACCCCTTCGAAGCCCTAATCGCACTGTACGCTATACCGCGCACGAGGTAGGCAGCGTACTCAGGGATTATAATATCTTTTCCAGAGATCAGAGTCTCCGAAGGAAAGTATTGAAATCACCAATTTATTCTTGTTTATGTCTGAGTTGGTAGGTTGAAGTGATCGGATTCGGTGTTGAAGTTGGTGCAAACTGCAAATATCTCCCTGCTCACTCTACTATGGTTAGTAGCGTCCGTACCTTTTTATCCTTCAGTTACCAGTAGTTAGCTCTATGTTGCTTCATGTTTTTCTTCGTTTCTTACTTGAAGCACTACCAATCAAGGCCCTTTGGCATTCCTGATTCTCACTCTATGATGGTTTGTGAGATTAACTAAGCCCATTTGCCATTTGATGCCGAATGCCGATGCATGTTATTGTTTTCTTAACGAGGTTTTAGAGAAAAACGCAGAAGTATCTATATTTGAGGCTGGCTATTTTCTGTTGTTTTGGCTATAGTTAAATCGAAGTGGTGGAAGAGATCGGTTTAGAAGGGATTACCCTTCAAGATTTGAAGATAAAGGTAGCAGTGGGCGGAGCAACAGCAGCAACCCCCCTTCCAGGCATCTTTGGGTTGGGAATCTAGCACACAGTATATCAGAGAATGAACTTGCCCGTCATTTTCTACAATTTGGACCACTTGAGAGTGTTGCATTTCAGCCTGGTCGTAGTTATGCTTTCATCAATTTCAGAAGGGATGAGGATGCTATTGATGCCATGGCAGAACTTCAAGGTTTTCCTGTTTCAGGCAACCCGCTTAGAATTGAGTTTGCCAAGGCGGTCAGTCCTGCCCACCTTTTTCTGTCTGATGCTTTTTCAGATGCTTTTTCATGCGTATATGTACATAGTTCAGCTGTTCAAATAAATTATTTATTCAAGGCAAAAAATTGACTAATTTAAATCGGAGAAAACTTGTAAGACAAACGTAGGCATCCAACTCACTACTTGGGATGTATGATAGGCCATCAAATTACAGTGCTTAAAAAATATGCTTATGACAGAAACGGTGCATAAAATTGCTTCTTTCCATTCAGTAAATGATTCACTCCAAACAAGGGTACGAAGTGATCAATTCAACTTTCCGGAAGAATAAATATGCTGTCATTTTCTGGATCGATACGGCATGAACTGTTCACTGCCTTTCTCTAGTTCTAAAGTGATTTTCTATGTAGCAGATTCCAGGGGCACAAACTGTGTCAGTCTGTCAGATGCCCTTGTGATAATTAATATTTTCTTTTTGAGGAGATAAAAATGTGTTGACTTTTGAGATCTCATGTCAAATCCACTAAAAAATGAAAAGGAGGATAACAGTGCGCTTTTGCTCGCCAGCCAGAGCCCAGATTAGTTAATTATATAATATGTAATACCATCTTGCTCTTAGACCTGAAGAACATGCTTGTATAATAAGAGTATAAATTCTGCCCTGATTGAACTTTTCATGTCAGCATGCTGGCTTCAATAAATCTAACAAGGTCTGGGATTATTATCATTTAAATGAAGTTTCTATTCCTGATTACAGTTTTTATAAGATTTTCAATTAAACAGGATGCTTAGAGTTAATTTCTCACCAGAAAAATTGGAGCTTTAGCTAATCAGTGATCATTTCTTTATACAGTCTTTTCTTTGAGCTTCTTGTACTATACAATTGGTAGCTTTTGTATGTTGATAGACTGTAGCTGATGAGGAAAGAATATCTTGAAAAAGTGAGGAAAGAAACTTCATAAAAGGTTATACGTTTTTTATGTCCTTGGCAATTCAACTTCAGGTAACGGCCCCAATTACTTGCACTATACGGTGAAGACTAACTGCTGAAATAATTTGATACTGTACATTATCAAGAGCTAGCAACTTATTATAATGATAATGTGTCCAAGCAATGACCAATAATCATGAATGTAACTCCTCCAATGTCCAGCTCTGGATTCATCTCACAATTCCATCCAAAATAAAATCATTTATTTCTAAGGGATGAGTAATGAAAGCATGCGGATTCTCTAAGGTTGGCAGACTATTATTCTTTGTTAGAAATTCAAGCCCTTTAATTCCAGTGCCATGGCTTTTGAAAGGGAGCGAAAATGGCTTTGCATTCAAGCATTTAGTGTGGTTGAGGAGACAGAGTTGACTGGTTGCAAAGCAGTTGAACAACTTTTATGGGTTTTAACAAGTTACATACGCACATCAATTCAATTGATAGCCCGGTCAAATGTTTCTGTTACTAGGGTGAAATATTTGGTCAAATATGAGAAAATAAATGCAAATCAGTGTGCTCCTAAATCTGAAAGACAGATTCAAATCCCCCAGCTTGGTTCCATTGAATGGATACTGTAAATAATTTGAAATACTTCAATATCCTCATATCTCTGTAAAAAGTTGGGAAAATATGGATTGTGTTTTCGAGATCATGTTGGTGAGGCTGGATTTTTACTTAAGATCCACAGCAATTACACTGTGCCACATAATGTAGCCTTCCATTTTAATTATTTCTGGCTTTCTATGACATACATGGGGAATACTGATGATTCACTGTCAAATATTCAATCTATTGTTATTCATATGATGCCAAATCATAAGACCTTGTGAGGAAGTTTCTGCATGTTGAAATTTTCATATACAATTCAATTCACCACCATGGGGGCTTTGATGTTTGATCAATGCCTGCTTGCAATTTTGATTATCAACCAAACACCATGAATCGTGCCACAAAACACTCTTTAACTATTGGAAATCACTTTTAAGCAGTGAAAGTGCATGGTCTAACATGAATCTTTTTAAGTATTGCTATCTATATGGAATCTCTCAGATTGTAGAAATTATGGATGGAGCATTGATATGAACTATAGAAACCATAGACAGAAACTTATGAAAAGGAAGTTTAGCCCATCCAAAGTTTCTTCCTGAACCTGATATTGTTATATGGGTTTCCAAAGGTAAAAAAGGCTATTCTCATGAGAGATAAACTTCCCATAGTGTGAGTGGTCAGGCTCAGGATCTTTACTGCTTGATGCAAAGTTCAAGGACCTGAAGTTATTGTGTGTGGATAAAAGCCTAAAATATGCCATGTTACTATGGCAGATGGTTGCCAGCTGTTGTATTGAGGCAAACAGATTAGAAGAACATTTTCAAAATGGAAAAAAAAAACACATAACAAAAGTGATTTAAGAGGTAGTCGAGAAAAAATGATCACATGAAAAGTTAGAATCATCACTCCCGGCCTCCAAATCATCTGCTCATCACTTATTTTATCATTGACAGTGGGCTTAACCCATCTTATTCTTCGTTCAATGGATGTAGTTTTTGAATTAGAATCATTAATGTCATCTAGAGTGGCAGGACAGAGGCAGTATGAGAGGTTTTGGTTGAAAATTCAAAATGATGAAGGAAGCAAAATTGTTATAGGCTAAAGTAGCTCCCTAGTAACATGAATAAGGGTTCCAACCAGGTTTTGTTCAGATTTAAGACCTGCGAATCCTTCATTGGAATTCTTGGGCTGATGACAGATGTGAAAAATCTCCTCTGCATACGATTCTAATGTGGCACCTGCCATAAATTGATGGCCGCCACAGCTATAGCAGCCACCTTGTTGAGACTGCTATTCCTTGTGGGGCTGCATTGGCATGGCCTGAGCTTGGGAGCTTCAAAGCCATCATGGTGGCCGCCATTGACAACACTTTGCTGTTTCTATTTGCAGCAAGAACATGATGCACTCTTAAGCAATCACATTAATAAGCTTAATTTGTTGGATATTGATATCTGCAATGGAATTTATTCTCGTCATTGAAAATTGGCAATTTATATTTTGTGATCTCAGCCAGGCAATAGGGTTCATACTAGCTTTATATTTAGCGATCCCTTAAATTTTGACCTTCACTTGCAACTCTGTAATCCAATATCAACCTCCCATGGTCCCACATATTAGTAGAATATTTCCACTCGCTTTCTGTCCAAGTTAATTGTAGGCTTTGGTCGTCTAATACTTGTGAGAGGCTTAATTATAATACCTCTCAGTTTATATTTTAAGGTGACTAAACCATTTCAGCCTTAATCTTACCTACCTGCCATTTTGGTTTCTCTAAAATTTACGCTGTCCTTCTGCTGGCACTTACTGTGGTCAGTTATTGATTGAATTTCTGCTGTGGCTCAAGTAATACGCTTTTTACCATCAGTTTGAATTGTAGAAAGGGTTTATTTGCCTCAATTCTAAATGATAAGTGGTATAATAAGGGGCATATGCAGCAACATATCAAAGTAAAAGAGATGCTATTATTATCCTGTTGATTGGACCCCTATTACTTTCTAAAACTAATTTACATGTCATAAAGATGAGGACCATGTTTTTCTAGACATTCTAGCTGTAGTAACCTCTTAGCGCTTGTATAAAAGCTTTTATATTTCCTTTAAATGCCATTCATTTCTTTATTGTGATTGGATTTAGGGATAAGAGAGAAACAGATAAAGATATGCTGAGTAAATGAGAAGATTCCACTGGTGAAAGTGTCCTTTTCCTTAATTATAGGCGTTTATATTGCTTAGATGGGAAAAGAAACTATATTAGATATGCAAGAAAGAGGACAAGATATCCTTAGCAAGAAAAGCAGGAAAGAAAGGATAAGTAAAAAAGGAAAAAAAAAAGGAGAACATGCCAGTGGAATAGTTGCCTCACTGCCTTTCATGGTAAACCTTAAAATGACCAAGTGAGTGACAGCAGAGCTCTGCTCATTCAACAAATGAGCTTTAAGCTCTGCTTAAACATGACTTATTTAATAAGCAAGTATATTGGCTTGACTCATCAAGCTCGTTTAAAGTTGATGCTTCTTTGTTCAAAAGCATGAACTTAAGCCCATAGAAATTCAGTCAAAACTTAAACTGCCTCACGCCTCATTTAAATATTATATATATTATTTATTCTCTTGTATATAAATTATTTTAAATTATTTACTCTATGTTATGTGAAATACATACAACAAGAATAACAAGCTTTATTCCTTTAGGTGGGGTTTCACTACATGAATTGTATGACGCTATTGTGCCATATTATTTACCAAGTTTTTAGAAATATTGTTAACTAAGAGGTTTTGATCAGTAATTTTCAAAAGTGTTTTTTTTTGGCCTTCCTCCACTTTTTTTAATAGGGCTCAAAGTTATCTGTGCTGCTGTCCTCATGGGTACCTCTTGTGATTTTCTTTGTATATGTCCAAATCATGTCAAACGTTTTTTACCATTTTTTCCTTATTAGGTGCTATGCCCACCTTTTCTCATATGTGTTCATTTCGGATTTTATCTTTACGTATATGATCGTACTTCCATATCAACATTCTTATTTTTACTACTCTAACTTTATGCTCTTACCGTCCTATTAAAGATCAACATTTACTACTATATAATGTTACTAGTCTTATGACAGTTCGATAAAACTTCTCTTTAAATTTATTAGTTACCTTATGATTGCAAATATCTTTTTTAGCCTTTATTTAGTTAAGCCACCTGACTTGTATCTTATATATAATATTCCCATCAATTTTCCCATCATATTAAATAATAGCTCCCAAATATTTAAACCTTTTCAATTGAGGTATAATTTGATAACCTAATTTTACTTCCAACTTACTATTAATTGACCTCTTATCAAAATTACAATGCAAATATTATGTCTTACTCTTGCTCAAGTGGAAGCTTTTTGACTCCAATGTCCTCTTTCATAGCTCAAGTTTATAATTAATTTCTTCTTTTATCTCCGCAATAAAAACTATATCATCTGCTAAAAGCATGCATTTGGGATTTTCTCTTGAATATGCACAGTCAAAACTTTTAGGATCAGGTCAAACAAATAAGGATTTAGAGATGATTCCTAATGTAATTTAATCTTTATAGGAACACCGCTAAATGTTCTTATACTAGTTGCTGTCCTCTTATACATATCTTGCATAGCTTTGATGTTACATAAAATACATAAGTAGTATATTAATACTTTTTTTGTTTATAATCTAGCTCTAGTGGGATAAGGTTTGTTGTTGTATAATCTAACTCTCATTGAGCCAAGTTTAGTTGAGCAAGGATGTTTTCAATCTTGAATCATTAACCAATGTGTCCCAATCTGAACTCGAGCTTTTTTCATTTAGCATACAAGTTGAGCCTGAACAACTCCAAGAAGAAACATGGTTTATTCATCTATACTTTCCCCTAGTAGGAAAACCAACTTGGAGTCTATGAATCAATTTTGCCCTAATATTTCCATATCAACACTTGACATAGAAGCAACCTTTTCGCTTGGCTGAATAAACATGACATCTACTTGATAGCTAAACCATACAAGGGACTGATTTAGTTTCATGCATTAAGTCTATGTTAAAGTAGACGCTCTGCTCTTTCAGGTAATTAGGACTAGAAGCAAGGCACAAATCCCTTGTGATTGTCAGGAAGCTTCATCAATTGTTTTCCCATGGAGCCTCCCTTTTTTTTGCAAGATAGACCTATTTAATATCATGTACCCCTTCCGTCCCAAATTATAGGGCACTTTTGAAGGAGTTTTTCCGTCCCAAAATATAAGACACTTTGGGTAGATTAAAGTTTCATTAAATGCGTCAATTACAATATTACCCTTTCTTTCTCTATAATTAATTCCTGTCCCTTCTCTTTTCAATATATTAAATGATGGATATTTTTGAAAGTTTATATTTTTGTTTTGGAAAGATAAAGTTGTTAGGTGTATTTAATGAGGTTTATTGGTATGTGAGATTTTGTCTAAAAGTGTTTTATAATTTGGGACGGAGGTAGTATCATTTAATATAAGCTACAGGGTTACACACTGCATTAGCATTTAATATTACAACAGCATTCCACTGGGTGTTTTTCAAAGTTACTTGATAACGGTGGACGTATTGTTTATCTAAATGCCAGTCCATGTGCCTATAATAACCATGGCTTAATCCTTTGATGGAGTTCTCTTGGAATGGGACTATCATATTAGTGAATTCTTGTCTCAGTCACTGAAAAAAAAAAGAAAAAACCTAGCCACTTGGGCAACAAAATCAAATGCTAGTCGGATTTGTTTAAACTATAATCTATTGCCAAATTGAATTAACTCCTTGATGGGTGCCTAAGTGGGATAAGGAATCTTACTCCAAAAGTTAGATATTGAGGTGGGAGAACCAACTTACTTAAATACCTCATTGAGCATCTTATGCCACTCAAGCTGAGACTTGGTATCCTATGCTGCCAATCAATTAGCCTCCGATGGAAAGTCAATGTCGTGGCAATTGCACTCCATGGCAATTAACTTAATCTCCTACCAATTAGAACTCTTTATGGGTAGTTCTCTACGAAACTGTTGACAATCAGGTTTTGATACCAATTGATGGGTATCTAAGTGGGGTGGGGAACCTTACTCCAAAAACTAGCTGTTGATGTAGGAGAACCAACTCACTTAAATTGTTGATCATCCCATACCACTCAGTGTGAGACCTGATATCTCATATTTTTCAAGAATTAGTGGTCCTCTCGGATTAAGATTTGGAATTGCTGTGTTTTCTCTTATCTATTTGCTCTAATGTACTAAATATGAAAAAAAAAAAATCCTTAATTGGGGTTGTCAGCTGTTTTTTAGTTTTTGCCACCCCCCTTTTCATGTTTGGATTTCTTATCTCCTGTCATATTACTTCTTTTCTAATTATCAATCTCTTTACTTCTTCTATGTGTTGTATAAAAACTAAAAGGTCATGACAAGGGGGAGATACAGAACATCTTAAGAGTTCCTCCAAAACACAATCTTTAATATTTAGAGGAACTGACATATTTTTCCTCAGTAATCATCCCACTGTCAAGAAAACTCAACTTTTCTGTGCATATGAGTTTTCATTTCTTCACTGTCAGTATCCTATGCATGATTTCCAGAATGAAAAAAGAACAGTGACTATAATGCATTGCATGTCACGAACAAATTATTCCAGATTTAATTCTCAAATGATGCAGTTATTACAACACTTGGCTTCTATTGTTGAGGCAAGAAATGGCACTCACGGGGTTTGGTTAGTTTCAGCGTGTGGAATTGTATTGATTCCTTGATATAAATGCACAATATTTACTTAACTAATTGAAATAGTTGAGACTGGTAGCTTCTGAATGATCGAGTGTGAAAGTAAGCTAAATTTGTACATAAAATCCTGTTTCTTGATGGCCTAAGTGAGTACATACAACGTAAGTAAAAAGATATGGTTTCTTTGTGATTGGTTAAAATGGTTAAAATGAAGGCAACTTTCCATAATTCCATCTCTTTCCCTCGATTATTTGATGGAACAGTACCATCTGCTCTCAGACTTGTAGGTGTCAAATAGAATTAACTAGCTAGCATGTCACTTGAACTTGGTTTGTACATTTCATTTACAATCAAGAAAATGTCTTTGATCTTAAAAACAGATCTCTGGTTCTTGTAATGGTAAAATGTTGATAAGATTTGCAGTAAGAAGTACGAGATGGGTTAATTTTGACAGCCCTAATAATTGAGGCATCAATCTTAACATCATTTGATATCAAACATCTTGGGTAACTGAAACTACATATAAAAGCTCTACAGCAACAGTGTGAAATTGATGGGCCTCAAGGAAGTCTGGGAAACCCAACCTTAATAATGCAGTACCAAGGGCAACGAGCCACTCTCAAGTACCATACAGAGCATCCAATGCTACACTACGTGAAACTTAGGCATCTCATCCTACCTAGTCCTATCATAGTACAACAGTTTGAAATTGATGGGACCCAAAGAATCGATGTCTTGAGAACTGCAGTTTGCAGCATTTCTCCGTCACTTCTTAGAGGTTAGAGCCCTCTTAGGTAGCTCTCTGTCATTGGTCAACCAACTCTAATGGCAAGGGGGTTTACTGAACTCACCATTAAAAGTGTGTTGTCAAAGGGGAAGAACCACTCTCCTTAAGTACCACATCAAGCATCTTATACTACGAGATATGGAACGTTGGCTTCTCCTACTACCCAGTCCCGTTCAGAAATACTTTGACTTTTGCATGGACTTCTGTGTAGATGATCAAGGATTGCTTATTGGGAAACGTCTTGATTTGGATGGAATTCAGTTAATATGGGAGACATGATACAGGGTTTAAAGAATATTAAGGCTGAGGGATTAACTTATTTCATTTATCTTGGTTGTCAATGCCTTAAATTGGATGAGATATCTATGGAGAATGTCATTATGCAGGGTTTAAAAGGAAACAGATCCTTGGCAATACTGTATGCTGCATTTGGAGGAAAAAACTAAAACCTACCGATGTTAGAAGCTACTTCTAATGTTATAAGCTATTTTCTTTTTAGAGTTTGCCTTATATTTTGTGTCTATTTCTCTCCAACAGCTCCAGGTACATTTACCTCTTATTAAAGAGGATCTGGGCTCTCAGTTATCTCACTTATACGTAAGAGCATGATAACATTTTGCTTGTGACTGGACATATGAATAATATTTATAAAATTTTGTTTCTGCTGAAGGTTTTTATGTGAGAATTTGATTTGAGGATAATAATTCACTTTTGTCCAGGTGGTTTTGTGGATATTAATTTGGTCGTCCATCTGTTGCCTGTTTGACTTCTTCATCTAGTTGATATTTCATGTAAATAATAATGGTTTACTATGCGGGTGACTGACTGTCCTCTATTGACTGTTTGGTTTAGTTTTCCCCCATCTTTGTTCACTTAAAATTTAAAGATATTGTTGAGGTTCACAATAACTTAAAAAGCTTAAGCTAAGGGCCACAGTTGATTTTATTATGACTAATGTGCCTACCCCCTCAAATGAAGATTCTTTTGGTTGATACATGATAGTGTAGATAAACCATATGCTCTCCATACTTGGTGCAGAAACTTAAATTGTAATTAAGAAAATGTCGCCTGCCATGGATTGAACTTTGAACTATTTCGTCATTGAAGCTTTAATGCCATGTAAAGCAAAGGTTACAATAGAGAAGAATCTTTAGCTTTTACAGCACGTATCAATGATAATACTGACAAAAACTATGATATTTGAAATTTATTTATGAAGTTTGCAACTTGTAAAAGAAATATGACAACAATGTAAAACTCACAATCTAGCTGGGAGTACAGCTAGATAAGATCAATTCTTAATTCTCTTGAGTTATGTTGGATGACAGCAATCACGCACTTTCATAATTGTCATTTTGTGATGTGAGCTGTTTTTGCAAAATATTGGATTCTGAGTGTGTGCAAAATATTGGAATTTCACATTCAGTATGTTTCTAAATACAGGATAAGCCATCTTCACTAACACGTGATGAAGACCACTCTTGGGATGAACGAAGCTCAGGGAGAAGAGGATCTCCTTTCACTCAAAGAGAGTTTAGAGGACGCCATGGTAGTCCTGAGCCTCCTTATCCCGACAAATCCAAGCTGACTGATAAAAACCCAGAACCCAGTGAGGTTTTGTGGATAGGATTTCCATCTCAATTGAACGTGGATGATTTAGCCTTGAGAAAGGCTTTTTCTCCATTTGGTGAGATTGAGAAGATCACAACATTTCCAGGTCGTAGTTATGCTTTTGTTCGTTTTAGGAGTCTAACTTCAGCACGCAGAGCAAGAGATTCTCTGCAGGGAAAGTTATTTGGAAATCCACGCGTACATATTTGTTTTGCAAAGAGTGAAGCTGGTTCATCAAGCAGTGGAAGGTTTTCAATTAATTCCCCTTCATCCCCATTTTATGCATCTAGCGGTCGTCATGGATCAATTGAGAACTTGAGAAAAGATAGGAGTATCATGGGCTTTAGTGGAGACCGTAGTGGTAGTTCCCCTGATATATTCCCAAAATGGGACTTGGCAGATTCTGATGCTTATGATTCAGATAGAAGGGGCTCTTCACGGGCTAGTGGATTCACTTCATATGAACAAAGGAGAGTTGGTGAAAAGTTGCCACCCCTTGGAGTACTACAAGAAAGTTTTGGACACTCAAGAAGTCCTTCTAGAGATAGACAAGCTCATTTGGGTACTTTTCCTCAAAGATTTCCTCAAAAGCATGCATTATTTGAAGATCCACGGGACTTGCCAGATGATCTGTATTATCAACATGACGCTAAAAAGCTGAAGACTGTATCTCTTCCTTCTGAAAAAGAGCTTCCAGAGTATCCTCTTTCTGATTTAGAAAGGCAGAGGCATATGTTCCCAAGGTTATTAACTGATTTGCCCCAACATGAGGTCCTTGATAACAGAATTGATGCTGGACCTGTTGTGCATAGACAAACTTTTGATCCCAAACCAAATTCCCCTTTTGCTCGGTCAGATCGAAGTGAGCACCGGAATCCTAATGATAGTTTCCGCATGGGTGCCAGTTCTCTGCAATCACATTCTATTGAGAAAAGAAGACTCACACCTGAACCTAGTAACTCATCCTTAACTGAGTGGAAATGGGAAGGAACCATTGCCAAAGGTGGAACACCTGTTTGTCGTGCTCGCTGCTTCCCTGTGGGAAAAGTCCTGGATATCATGTTGTAAGTAGAATGTCTTATGTTGAGTTTGCCTTGTCATCGCATCAATAACTTACATATTGCTGTTTTATTATGAATGGCATCGATTGTATGTCTTTTCTCATCATAACATAGGCCAATGAAATTGCTACTAAAATGTACTTTTTGAGGTTAAATCTTTTTTATCAACTTCAAAGGCGATGGTTCTAGTAATGGGCTTAATGCTATGAATTGTTGTTCCATATAGCGAGAGAGATGTTTTGTACTATTAACATTTCTGAAGCCCTTGTATTTTGGAGGGTCCTTTTTTCAACGGCGACTTTGTCCATGGGGTTGCTTCTATGAAGCTGGAATTAGGTTCTGTGTGATTAGAAATGGATATTGGTTGAGTTAATACATCATAATGTAGAAGGCCAAAAAAAAAAACAGTTGCAGGTTTGGCTTGATTAATAAATAAGTTAATTGTGCTTTGATAGACATTTGTTGAGCTTGAATTAACTCATCTGTTTGATTGGATGTTGGAACTTGTCTTAACATATTCATTATTTTTATGCATTGATTTTGCTTCCTTATGGAAGTTGTTGAACAAGATCTTTTAGTTAATAATATTCTTAAAAGCTTGATTGATGATGAGCATAATGGTATTATGCAATCTATGTAGCCGACCTCATGCTTCTTGTTGTTATTGTTGTTTATTTTACTTCCCTATGACTATCAATGCATAATTATTTTTCAATCAAAATTAGAATTTGGTCTTGTGCTTTGAATAAAATTTGAGGCAAGTTGCATTGTTCATAGCTTATGAATGGTACATTTGATAGAATTTATATTATTTATAGATTAACTGTAGCATTGCATTAATTTATATGAAAAAAATCATAGAAAATAGAGTAGAAAAAAATATTTGTGTCAGTCAGCTATCAGTGTGCCATCTAAATGGTCTTTCTGTGGTGAGAGTTTGGGAGCGAAGCACCAGAAGCATTAAGAAAGATACTTTTACAATACAGGGTTGTTTGCAATTGATCCCTTTGACATCCTTATTTTGGATCCCTTTCCCTTCCCAACTTGAAATCGTGAATGGAACAGGCTCAAGTTTTAATAACTCGATCCCCAACTTCAATTATTAAGAACTACTCCGAGCAAATTGCTTCCTTTAATTCAGCTACCTTACCGCATACTCAGCTACCTTACCTTGCCAAATTCAATTTTCAAAATGATTTCATATTAGCATGTTGAATGCTCGGCAAATAGAGGGATTACTTACCATCTTTAATTTCATTGATTGTTTGACTCCTGTTGTACTTGTTTCCATAAGTCATACTTATAGCTGCACTCATTATCTATCTTGTTTCACCCCTCATTGTTCTGACTTGGGTTTTAATCTCAATACCATAATTTCAGACCTGAATTCTTGGATTGCACAGCGAGGACTGGTCTAGACATGCTTTCAAAGCATTATTACCAAGCGGCTGGTGCTTGGGTTGTTTTCTTTGTGCCTGAAAGCGATGTTGACATTGAATACTACAATGAATTCATGCATTACCTGGGGGAGAAGCGTAGGGCTGCAGTTGCTAAGTTAGATGACAGAAACACCTTGTTTCTTGTACCTCCATCAGATTTCTCAGAGAAAGTATTGAAGGTACCTGGAAAGTTGAGTATATCTGGTGTGGTTCTAAGGTTGGAGCATCCGGGTTCTACTCAAGGGTCCATGCACAATGAAAATGAATTGAGTGCATTGTATCCAAAGCCACCAATGCCATCAGCTCATAGCCCCCCACAATTTACATCTATTCCTGAATTGGGTGCATCGGGGATGAGCAATCTTTCGTTCCTTGGAAATAAGATTTCAGCAGCTCTGCCTACCGGACCTGCCATGGCTGGTGTATCTGGTTCTCATGATGGAAGAAGGGGACACGAGTATCCTGCTCAACAGCAGAACAATACATCTGGGCCAAATTGGTCTGCCAACAATCTTCAGACCTTGATCTCCAATAGAAATTTACCATTACAATTGTCAACTGGTGCTGTTGAACCTCTTGCTCAGGATCAGCAGCAGGACATTCAGAGGTCAGTGCTTGATGTCAATTCAAACCAACGTGTCGGTGAAAACAAGTCATCTCTTCAGGAAATAAGGCCTCTGGATTCTTTATCTCTGCCTGGTGGATCCCTCCAACAAGAGCAGCTCGCACAACTAGCAGCATCTCTTCTTGAGCAGCAGAGGCAATCAGGGAGCGGTCTTAGTGTATCTGCGGCGTCACATGATCCGAGGCAAATTCATAGAGTTAACGGGTCTGACTCCTCCTCCAGATCATCCCAAAAATACCCCATTCAAAATAACTCAGTGAATCCTGAACTCGCAACAGCTCAGTATGGTCAAGTTCTACAGATTCAAAAGCAACAGCAGATGTCAAATGTGCCTCAAGGATCACAGATGGTTCAAAGAGAGCCACAAAGAGTGACTAACGGAAATCAGCAACAGCTAACTGGAAGTAACATGCAGCAAGATGCAGAAGCTGATCCACAGAAGCGTCTACAAGCGACATTACAGCTGGCTGCAGTTCTTCTTCAGCAAATTCAGCAAGGGAAAGGAAGTTGAACAGTGCCTGGCTCTTTTTAGTCTGTCCGAGCTTAAACGAGAATTACGGCTTGTAAATGGACTGGTTAGAGTTTCAGTTTATGCAGGACCTGTTTAGGAAATCTGTGATTCATAGTAGTAATGCTGGTTCTTGGCTTTCTGATTAACTATCTGGTTTGAAATTAAACTGGCGATCTCCCTCACTGTTCAGGCTTCTTTAAAGTGTTTTTTTTTGGCCAACTAATAGTTTTCTACTATAAAAAGTTAGCTTATATTTCAGATAGAGAATAAAGCTACATAATTTAATATTTTAATAACAATTTTATAAAGATAGAGAAATATGTACTTTTATTTGGTTTTCACTGCAGTTTTAAACTTTTTAAATTAAATTTTAGTAGTCTGTATTTAATTATTTATCTTTTCTTATAATTTAATATTTTAATAATAATTTTATAAAGATCAAATCGAAAATGTTCAAATATTGATATAATGGTTAGGGGAAAAAAAAAAGGAAGAGGATGAAAAGGGAAGAGGAGAGAATTCTCTATTCTGGAGAATAACACTATTTTTATTAGCATATTTTGGTTTTTTAACCAATACACAATAAATAATGAAAAAAAAATTATCCAAATGCTATATCATGAAAAGTATTTATCAAAATGTTACATTGAAAATCGTTTAGATTGAGAACGATTTTGTAATTGTGAAGAAATCGTTCACATCAAAAATAATTTTTTAGTAAGAAATTATTTTTATTCAATGAAAAATGAAATCGTTTAAGTTAAGAATAATTTTAGCTTTTTTTATTGACATGACATAATATTCATTGTCAATTGTGATAATTTCTTACTTTTTCTCATCATTATTATCGCCCATTTTCACCTCTTCCAAACCTATTTAATTCAAGTCTTATTACGTGCTATCCTTATTATCATCTCTTTTCAACTCACCTACTACTACTCATTTTGAATCGTTCATGCCTTTACTTCATAATTACAAAATCATTTTTAGTATGAACAATTTTTAGTATAGCATTTTGGTAAATACTTTTCATGGTATAGCATTTAAGTATTTTTTTTATTATTTATAGTATATTAGTAAAAAAGCCACATATTTCATATTAGAAAAAACTTATATATATATATATATATATAATTTTTTTGTGTGTGTTAGAAACTTAACCTTATATATTTAATATATTTGTTTTCAATTAAATCACGATAATTAAATATTTTATATATTATTTATTTTAAGGAAAACATAACTTTTGATTCCTGTAATTTTTTTGATATTTTGGGTCTCTATACTTTTATTTTCAGTGTTTTACATTCATATAAGGATCTAGAATATCAGAAAATAAAAGTGTAGGGATTTAAAATATTTTAAAAAAGTGTAAGGATCTATAATAAAACGCGAGCAAAGTATGAGGATCAAAAGATATATTTTTTCCTTATTTTATAATAAATTAATGATATTAATTTTTTTAACACATTAAAATTCACTTATCACGATTTGACTAAATATGACTATATTAAATATATAACATAAAATACATAAATTTTATCCTTTCAAAATGCTAATTTTTTCCTTGTAGTTTTGACATTGATTTATATATATTAGTAAATGGATTACTATCCTTCTATATCAATTCTTTATTTAATGAAAATTAAAATATTAGGTAATTAAACATTTCCATGTTATGTTAGAGACATAATTAAAATTTCGGCAAAAAAATCTCCATAATCATGGATGTATTTTATATTTATATTTTATAGTTTATATGAGTGTGAATTAACAGCTGGCCCAAAAAAAAAGGCCGGTCCAAAAGAAAAGAAAATAAATAAAAAAATAAAAAGGTCTAACTAGCCGTTGCCATTTGAAGACGCTCCTGGCTGTCTCAGCACCGAGTCACCGACACACGCTCTTTTTCAATACAGTTGGGCTCTCTCACTGTCTCTCTCAGCAGCTTGATTCTCTCGTGATCACGCCTTCTTCGATCCCAAAAAGACCCGTCAGATGATGTTCACGGAAGGTCTAGACGAAAGCGCTATCAAATGGATCAAGCAGGTTCTTTTTTACCGTCATCATTGATTCTCTCCATTTTTCTTGTCTTCTCCATTTTTCTCTGTGTTTCCTCCTTTTTCAAACAGGTCTTTCTTGAACGCCTTTGGACTTCATTCACTTTTATTAATCCTTTTCCATTTTCATCTTTAAAACATTCCTATTTTTCGTGTTCTTTTGAAGGTAAATGTGGCATTAAGTTATTTTCATGGCTATTTTTTAACTGGGATTCTGTTTTGAATAGGGCGTGGAGTAATTGCTTTCCCTTTTTTCCTTTTATACCAGAAGGACCTGTTTGTTTGATGAATCAAAACCACATCTAATGGGTCTTGCTTAAATGTCTTTGGAACGAGTTTACCTTTATTCCTTTTGTTATTTTATGCCTGTATTATTTGAGTTACTATGTTCTTTTAGACCAAACTGTGGCTTTTCTTGTGGTTAATTTAAATCATGTAATTTTAGTCCTTTATGTGCTTTTATATTCTTTCCGGTTGAATCTTCTGACTGTTGATATTTTGTTTCGAAGAGCTGGAATCCTTCAATGAAATCAAACCTAATGGTTATAGACAAATATAGAAACGCGACAAGATAGAGTATATTCTTTTGAAAGCAAGTGTCTGAGTATCTCCATTGTAGGATGTGATGTGACTCAGCTTTAAAGTAAAAGGGATGCATCTGGCGTTATTAACTAAATTCCTTTTCTTTATTGTTCACAGGGAACAGAAGCAGGAGCAGAAGAGCCTCGAATACGATCTCCTTTAACGGAGAAATTTTCAAGTGAACGGTTCCCAAAATCTCCGCTGAAATATGGTGGCAATGGTCTGAGTTCTCCTGTTTTGCCTCCATTAAAGTTTCACTCTGGTCTGCTTACACCTCATGGCCACGCCTTCGCCACTTCATCTGGCTTGATCGATGGCGAAAGTGAGGAAAGCATCGATTCAGTTTCGGATGGTGAGGACGAGAATTTCTCTGATGGAGAAGTTTCTGTATCAAATAACTTGGATTACTTGGAGAAGCCAATTTCCCAGTGCTATGACGAGGAAGAATTATTTGGTTATAAAGGGCTTGAACTTAAACCTAAACCAGAAGGACGCAATGGGATTCTGAAAAGTGGACTGTCAAATGAGAATCTCACGATTGAAGTACGAGGCAGTAGCGTGAGAAGATTTACAGACGGCGAAGTGGGTTATAAAATATGTGCTCAAAATCAAAAGAGTTCGATCCCAATTGGAGGTAGTCACCTTCTAAAGCAAGTCCACTTGAGGAATGCCAATAATAGCCATAATGACCTAGCGGAATTGGGAACTCCGAGTGCCCCTCCAATCATCGATGTTGATGTTTCAAAGAAGAGAGATTCTGAGGGTTCGGTTACGAATGAGCATACCCCTAAGCGTTCTTGGTTATCAAGAGATTCAGTGGATTGTGATATGAGAAGTGTAAGTTCACATGAATGCAAGACCAAGACTATGAATGAACAAACCCAAAATGGGTCTTGGCCATCAAGAGGGTCAGTAGATAACGATGGAAGAAGTGTGAGCTCAAATGAATGGAAGCCCAAGACCCTAGGAGCCTCTGAAATCAGTGACAGGTATTGCTTTTGTTAGCTCTGTTGCAGTCTTTTTTTCTGGGAACTTCTAATTGATTCTTAACTTTCTTCTGCATATTCTCTTTTTCTTTTCTCTAACAAAGATACGGTGTCTTCTTGATCTTGATTTGTGCAGATTAGACAAAGTTTTTGCGGAAGATAAAGAAAAGCAAGCTCCTCATTTATCGTACTACAATACCAGGTAAAAATTAGTAAAAATTAAAGCATGCGAATTTTCAACATAATTTTATGCATTTAGGTAACAATTAGTACAAAATCAGTAAAATATAATACATGGGTATCAACGTATGGGTTGGCTCTTACAATTGTATGAATGCTATACTAGTATACTGGTATATCACCTGCTGCAGTTGATAGTTGATACATTTCTTGAGATGATAAAAATGCTAAATTCCTTTGTAATTGCTTTTCACTTACTTTGCACTTTAAGAAAGAGCCGTCCAACTTCTAGATCTTTATTAAAGTGAGGCTATTAACTTAATATGCAGAACGAGTAGGATGGGCTCTGATGTAGCTAACTGATATTCTTTAACTGATGTAAAAGCTGCCACTTTTCATGAAGCTCAATTTAGATTCAGCTAAATGCTTTCCTAGTGTTAATTATATGATTAGTTTCTTTTTATTATTTTGAAACTCTAAATCTGATATGCTCTCCACTTTTTATGGCATGTTATCCGCAGTAACTGCAGTAGCCAGTATGCCTGGCAAACCCTTATTACTTATGATGCGTGTATACGGTTTTGCCTACAAGCATGGGCAAAAGGCTGCCCTGATGCACCAGAGTTCTTACGAGATGAGTGCCTGGCTCTTCGAAGTGCCTTTGGGTAGGTTCCCTTCCTTGTGCAATTAATATGAATTATTAACTTATTCATTCTGAATTTTGCTTTTTATGTGATTCCTAACCTTTTTCTCTGTAATTCTTTGACTCTATAGACTGCATGAATTCTTGTTGCAACCTCAAGGCGTAAGAAAACCTGAAGCCAGCAATCCAAGGAACTCAGAACAAATATGCCCCTTGAAAGTGAAGAAGGTTGTTGGTAAAATAAGAGTGGAAGGTAACGCCATAGCCCATAAAGGGAACTCTGCTTCATAATAATTATTTTTGCTCTTGAAGGTTCACATGGAAGGAATATTTGTTGTTTCATTTACACTTTGAAAAAAGATCAATGTAATATGGTCTTGTTATTGAAATTGGACCCTCTTTAAACCTCATGAGGATCATTCAAGTCCTGCTAAACTGTTAACTTCTTGATGTTATGCAATACAACACTGAGCTTTTTAAGAAATTCCAGTGAGGAAACTTCGCGTTATACCTGGGCGGAAACTTAAAAGCACATTTTCACAACGAGGAGCGAATTACATGCAAGCAGGGGTGGGCTATGTCCGGCATGTTTCATTGCTTGTGAAAAATGGCATAAATTCTAAGAAGTTGGTTCCATTCTCGTTGTCATCAGAAGGTTAGTGCATGTGACGGAAAATTTAAAATCTGTTTTTGCCTCCTCGCAAATGTAGCACTTTTGTCTGGTTTTCTGCAAA